CAGCTACAAAGTGAGAAAWTAGTAATAAATTTAGAATGATGTAATATTGCAAAAATATTTCCAAGAATAAGAAAAAGGCTTTAAACAAACATATCAATAAACTATAAATAACTGCACATATATCCATTTATACAAGGACTCAGTGAAAGATAAATACATAAATACTTTTTATTCCTTCCCCCATGTACAATATGTCCTTTTTACAAGAACAAGCAACGCGAATAATTAAGAATTTACTCAAATGCAATCATCTGCCTAAAAATCAACATTGGTTACAATACTTCTGAGGGCAATTATTTTTTTATTGTGAACAAGTTATACCTTCTGCTTCCCCTCATAAGAAACTACTTAATTGTCATTGTGAGGATTTAGAAACATTAGAAGTTAGTATAAGAAGAGGAAATTGCTAAACAGACCTTATTTTAAGTTAATTTTATCATTCCTTATTTTAGATATAATTCTCAAATTTAATTACTACTATCCTATTGATAAAGAAATKAAAACAAAGTCCTCTTATCTGTCTATACAAATTTTTCAAAAACAATTTCATACAGGCAATTAAAAAAACCCTCTTTTCAGAAAAGTAACGTTTTTGCCATTGTGGAAGGAAGGTCTATGTGATTATTGTGTGTATATTTGTGATGACATACATGCACACCTGTATCTAAGCCTCCTTTACTATCTCTTCCCATATTTTTTTCTTTTTTAACCTGTGACTAATTTCAGTCAAGTTCCCAGAGCACAGTCCTCAGGCAGGACTGTGTAGCAGCAACAAAACATATTCATCTTCTTTCTCTCTCTCTTTCTCTCTCTCTCTCTGGAAACAACTCTTTTTTTTAAGCTCTGATTCCAACAGGGAAAAGCAATTTGAATACGCCAACCCTGGGAAAATTTCACCCAACTTTTTCACCTTATTGGTAACCACAAASTCCTAGCAAAAAGCATGAAGTTATTGCTCGTGGAACTGTTTGCTAATGGAAAAGTCTGTCCATAGTTTTCATTAGGATCTTCACTCTTTGTTTTGCCTTAAAGACAACTTTGCTAAGGCAACCATCTGAACGCATAGCAATACTCTGAAAAGCAAAGGACATGTCTTCATCTCAGAGCACTTTTTTCATTTTTCTTTCATTCCTCTTCAGCATTCCTACTTCAGTGCACATGAAAGTTACCACAAGATCCTACTGTAGCAGGCAGCAACAAAAAAGCTGAATCTTATTATAATTTCCTACCACCCACTGCATAGCACTGTGACCATTTCCAGATCACTGCTGGTTTGCACATCCCCTCCAAAAAACAGCTACTCTTGTTGCCCCTGAGAGAGAGAATGCCAGGATGAAACAATGAGAACTGAACTAGTGATACAAATACTAGGTACTTGTACCTAAAATTATGTTACGAAATACTGAGCAATTTCGTCTAGTTGCCTGAAATAAAAAGTTTCTCTGTATGAATTTACATGATCCAGACTAGACTCTTGCTAGAAACAGGGTCTAACCAAATAAAGACAAAATAAATTATCATTTGGGCAAAACCAAGAAAGAAAACAAATCTGGAAGAGCATTAATATGTTCAACCTCACAGGCACTACACCTTAAAACACTTGAACAGTGTAAGAAGTCTTCAACCAGTAACTGAGATGCTCAACTTGACAGTCTCTACCTCTGTGTATCAAAGACCTGAAAGCAAAGGTTGCTTCAGAAAATGATCCAAACTCCATGATTAAGTCACAAACCTTCACYAGCCACCACACAAGGCACACTATAAATGGTGCTATTCACCAAACAGATGCATTAGAATATGTCCAGGCTTACATTTATTTTAAAAGTTAAAAACACAGCTATTTTGGTTAAAAAGTGGCTTAAATTATCTGCAAGAAGTCAGTGGATAACATAAATGCACAACACTGTCTCATTTAGGAGAAAAAAAAAYTCACCAAAAATAAAGCAGTCGGTTTCCTTTTATATTTCATTGAGGAATTTTATCTGCTAAAAGGAAACAAGTTAACTCTGGTGGTATGAACTTAGTCTTTATTTTGTGCAAAATGAAAAATCATAGTTCCAAGCCCACATTTCTTTGAGAAATAATTCTCAGATAACCACAGTTTTAGTATGTTTATTTCAAGAAGTGTTTCTGGTTTTTATAGCTCAAAGGAATTGCAYTTCTATGGTTTGCATGACAACAACATACCTGCTCTTTTTTTTTTCTTAGCTACAGTTCTATAAATAAGAAAATCTAAAAATACTAGATTTATCTCAGAACTCTCAAAAAAATTCTTGCAATCTGTTCTTAAGACTGCTGATCCAGCTTTCAAATACAGAGGGAAAAAAACCTCTCTATGAGCACGACTGCATCCTGATGAGACAGAGAGGTGCTGAAGTCTAAAAGTATAGACACTGACAGGCGTCAGGATTATTCATTGAGATTATTAGTGCAAGAAATGGATTTGTTGGATTGGATGCTTGAATGCAAAGTGGGTCAATACTTCACTCAGACAGAAATGAGTGGGTGCTGATTCTGAATACTCTGTCCCAGCCAATTTTAAGCACACACCTCCTGTTCACATTTCAGAAAGACGGCGAAAAACAACAGCGCAGATTCTTCTCAGAAATAATTCACATTTGGAAATCTTGTTGCATTCCAAGAGTTCGATGAAAAAAAAAAAGATAAGGTAGTGCTATGCTGAGTATTGCCACAAAATCCTGGGGGAGAGGCGTTTCTAAAGGGCATTCCTCAAATCTAAACTAGGCATCCATCCACACTACTCACAGACACCAATAAACTCTTAGAGGAAGAAGATTTAAGCTTTCAAAATTGAAAGGAACAAATAAATAAATAAATAAAAAGCTCTACAAACCAGGATAAGGCAAGAGACAGTTCATTAGTTCATGAAAAATGATGGAATTTAGAGGATTGGCTCAAGATCACATTGCTGGCAGCACTACTAACACCTGCATGGCTTGGGGCACTTAGAAGTTGCTTATAGGTTCACAAGGAATTTTAACTGTCAAACAAACAAACAAGCAAGCTTAGGTACCTGTAAGCTGAAATAGCAGCTAAATAAGAATTTTCAAAAGTCTTTATTTGACAACCTACATTCAATGGGGGAAAAGGGTGCTGAAAGATCTAGTTTGTGTTAAAATCTGTCATGAAGTACCAAAACTGACAGTCTCAGATGCACACACAAATTCCTATCCACAYTACTCATGTGGATACCTTTAAACCATAAATAAGAATTTAACTGGTAAAAATATTTGTAATCAAGTGAATCGGGGAATTACCTTTTACAAACTGGCTTGGTAAGACTTTCTACAATTGTTAAGAGATACTGGCAGCCAGCAGGAGACTTATGCCTGTTGAGTCAGTCTGATAAGCTCATTAATTCTTTCTCCAGAAAGTWACTCCTACCTTTCTTCATAGAAAGACAGAAACAACTTTTTAACAAAGAGCCTATAGTCTATTTGCCTCTCACATATTAGTGCTTCTCTTGAACACGTCTCTCTTTTCCTCTTTTGCACCAATAAGAAAGAAGATACAAGTGTCACATCACATAAAACTTGAATGAAGAACTAAAATGTGTTCATCTCCATAGACAGCATATGCCAGAGGTGCAAAGTCCCAAGAAGAGGTGGATGAAGATGAAGTCCTAAAGCAGTAGATACTGCTGGCTCATGAAGTATAGAAAGCCCTTATAATGGTAAAGGAGAGACTGAGGTCTACATAGACAACCTGTAGACAGTTTTAAGGGACGTAAAAAGCCCTCCACAGGGCCTCTCTATTATTAGTGATCAGTATAATATTTAGTGATGTATGAAATACTATAGGCAATACAACTTCTTCATTTTTTCCTCCACTGTTGATAATTAAAGCATCCTACTATTTTACTAACGGAATGAGCACTATCAACAAACTAGATCGAAGGACAGTGATTCAGGACAGTAACACCAAGTTTGTTTGAATTTTTATGTGTAAAACAACAGGTCAGTTAGGGAAAATTTGGAAGAAAAAGATAGCTATCAAAGGCCTAGCTCATCAACTACATGGAGACACTTAATCCCTATTGTAATAAACAGAAATCAAGTTAGCTATATAGCCCTAGCAACTGCATTGATTAAAGCAAAGCCTTCTGTTCAGAAATTGAACCACACAAATGCTTTAATTTTTATGAAAACTGGAAGTAGGAAACTCACCACTGTTCCCTCACATCCGCTTACAGCTCTCTCAAATGGGGTCTTATTCATCAGGAAATGAAAATATCTGAACCAACATCGTGGGTGATAACACCTTCCCTCCATGCAAAATGTAAAACCTGACCACCAGCAATTAGTTTTCTAACAAAATCTGCAGCTTCCAAGGGTTTGCAAATGCCACTCAAATCACGGACGGAAGGCAAAGTATCCAGCACACTGTTTTCTTCAAGAAACCGTTCAGTAAATGCACGGATGCCATACGTAGTAAGCTCGATCAAGAATAAGTTAAATGCTGAAAAATAGAGACGAGTCTCGGGATAACACTACTGAGTAAAATATATGTGCATTTTGATGTAAAAACAGCGTTAGAAAGGGATGTTAAAATAGTAATCATTGTGATTGCTCCGGTAGCTTTTCATATTGTAAGTTTATGCACAGAAGAGTACAATCTGCACATCCATGCATCTGCCGAGTACCAGGGAGTAGCTAGAGCCAAACACTGTTCCCAAGTGTACGACTGCGGTCAAAAACACCCCAAATCGCACCAGGGACMGTCGCGGCGGGGGTGTCCGGGGACAAGCGCCCTCCCCGGAGCGGCGGGAGGGGGTTCCCGCCGCGCGGGCGCCTCTCGCCCTCCGCGCCCGGCGCTCGCGCCGCGCGGGCTCCCTGCCCGGGCACGCGGCAGCGCCGGGACGGGAGCGAGGGACGGGGAAGGGCGGCGCGGCGGCATCGCCTCTCCCCGGGAACACGAAGTGCCGCGGCCGGCCGGCCACACGCGCCCAAGGGAGCCCCCTGGTCAGAGCGGCTGCTTACCTCGAAGAGGGGCCCGATCTTGTTCCTTTCCAGGTAGGCTTGGATCCTGGTCTGCTGGTGAGACGCCATGGGGAGCGCAGGAGGTGGCACCGACGCTCCTCTCCCCCGGCAGCGGCGGCTGCTGCCTCCGGCTGCCGCCTGCGTCTGCCTCGGCCGCCGCGGCAGGGGCGCGGGCCGGCGCGGCG